TACACCTATGCTAGGGTAAAGATGCCCACCCAGGTGTTTGCTTTTATAAAGATTATATACAAGAAACTGTTGAATCTAACTTAAAATTACCGTACATCTTATAAAACTTATAATTTTATTATTTATAAAAAATTATAAGGTCTGGTAAACTAAACAAACACCAGTACTCACGACCAAAAAACATACAACAGTAAAAATACTTTTGCTATGGATTTTCAATCATTTATCTCCAGTTAGCAATGTAGTAAGAATAAACTCTGGTTATACGTCTTTTTTTCCTCTTCTTGCTAATATCGTTTGTTAGTTACTGGATTTTGAGATATCGGTGGTGGACTTTTTTACCCGCAGACCTTCAATCCATGCTCTAACCTTTATAATAAACATAAAAAGTATACGCGAATGCATTCTCTATAACAATTGTGAGAATTTTGAATAAAATGAATAACTTTTTAGATATAATTTTGTCTGTACGTATTTGGGTGTTCATAATAATATAAAATGTGAATGAATACTCTGTAAAAAATCAAGAACAACAAAATTCTTAGATTTATCTTTATCGTTTAGTTTTTTTTTTATCATTCATCGCAGATCTGTTTTAAAAATGATGCAATTTATCAGTGTGCCTAATAATATTTAATCGGTGCCAAGTTGAATCACCTTTTATCGTAACATTAATAATGATCTTTTGCGATTTTATAAATTTCTATAGGAAACGCAGTTAATGTGTTAATGTGGATGAATACACGTCGCCACGTGTCGCTGATTTGTTATTTACATTTATTGTATTTACGCTTTGCAGCGCGTAGTGCGCGTAAAACTGAATTATTAAATTATAGAATAGATAGTTGCGCAGATGCAATATTAAAACTAACACAAAAAATTTACAACTGTAAATAGTAATTACAAACTAGTGGTGCGTGCCATCGTGTTTAAAGGCAAATTGCTGGAACTTTCCATACCGATAATTGAAAAGCTTTAAAATTTTTTGAGAATTTTATAAAAAAATATTTTTTTTAATTTTGAATTTTATTTAACATTTTTGATAATTTTGAAATTTTTACAAAGCGATCGCGCTGCATAGCTGTTTTAGAGACGAAATACCTAATCGCGGTTAAACATAAGAACACGGAACCATATAAATGTTCCTCTCTGTCTTGAACTGGTACGAAAACCATATAAATGTAATCAAAATTTGTACATATTAATAAAATCGCTATAAAATATCTAATAATTTCATTTTTTTCAACTATTTTTATTAGCTATCCGAAACCGTCAAACCTGCCTTGCCAAAAATTTAATCAAATCAATGCAAGTAAAATGGTTTTTGAATCATTCAAATATGACGCTCCCGTTCTCTCAAAAACTGCCATTCTCTCAAGAATTGCCTTTTTTCGGATTTTTTGCCCTGTATCTTTGAAATGTCTGGACCTGCCTTTGACAAAACTAATCAGCACGTCTTCCCATCAGTAGGAATCGAATGTTTTTTAAAGTATACAAATCGGTTTATCCGTGCTCTCGAAATCGTGGACGAAAATTTGTATCCTGGCATATATACATACATCCATGCACGCACACATACATTGATTTATTCTTATAAACGGAACGTAAAGATTTGCAAAAATGTTCGTTTTCAATTTTTTTGCGATCATCATTACTTATATACAGAAAGGTAGTAATTCTTAACTTAAGGTTTTGCATGTCTCTACCTTTTAATGGTTTCTGGAACATTTTAACATGAATGATTCACAAAACATTCAATTCCTATTGATTTAAATTTTGAAAAAAAAAATGAAAATATTCGAAAATGTTATATAATCAAAGTTCTTGAACATTTTAAATTGCGGTACGGGAAGTTCCAGCAATTTGCATAAGATACTATGCAATGCACCACTAATTTAATGCAATTTTATACAGCGTCTACATTGCTATATATTCAATGATAGCTATCATTTGTAAAAAACTTATTATTTTTGCATACTTTTGGATAAACAATCTTTTGTCATATTCAGTTAATTTGACAGAAAAATACCTTAATTAATGTGAAACAGTACAATTTAATGTCATTAATCTTGTAGCATGATTAAATAATTACTGACTGGATATTGTGTTGAAAAATCATATGTTTCATGATACCCTTCAACACAATAACTTTTAATTCAACGTAGTAAATATTAATTTCAGCATTGCATTCAAGGCTAATCGTAGTAAACAATGATAAGCTACTTTAATAGTATTTGGCATTTGATTCGATTAAAATCTTTTTATCCACTCAAAATGAACACTCTTATAAATACTTTCAATATGAGAATCATAGAAATTGTAGTAAATTTTATATATTTATGTTATATAAAATAAGATTTACCAACTCATTTAACTTAGCACGACTGGCCCCAATCAGGGAAAGCTTCGCAAGTTCAAGAGAATAAATATATTCGCACACTTCGAATCATTCACATCATTTAATTATTGATATCCGATGGGTATTTTCAGAGGCTCATTTTTGACGGTATTTTCATTATTTTTGGTTTGTCCATGTTGATTACCATGTTATATCATATTTCTACTCTAACAATTCTGCAACAAATTTTGTAATTCGGTTCCTGTTTTTGATACTACGACGAGACCATCTGCATTCTTCATAATGGTGATTCTTTTCTCTCCAAACCCTCAATTATTACTCTGTTTCAAAATAGAAAATCTATATAATATATATTTATAAATAATTCCGTCAATTAGTTATATAATAAATATTAAAACTATATTTATACAAAGAAAGTATTCCTGGTCGTCACCAGTACATTGCTTTGTCCTCCATATGTACCCCAATTGGATTCATTTACAACCAATTATCACTCTGTAAATCAACATTTGCTTCAATACTAATTTCATTACATAACTTTTGATCTTGTGCGTACTATTTGTTTTTGTATTATTCTGCGATTAGCAAGGATAAACATTTTACAATCGGGATGACTAAAAAATAAAACGTATTTTGCAAAATGCGTTTTCGCTTTATACAAACATAGCATTCATAGTATTTATTTTAGTTATAGTTGATAATAATTTTATGTATTTTTAGGGTGTTAAGAAACCATTCACAGAAGTTATTAAAGCACATATGGGTGATTGCCATGCTATGGGACAGAGACCAATCACATTTATAAGACAGGTATTATTTACCCAAATATTTAAAATTATTTAATTTGATAAAAAAATCAATATTTGTATTTTATGCAATGGTTTGTTTTCATAACTATTCGTTTTTTTAATAGATTGCATTTTTAATAAGTACATCCATATAATAATTATTGTTTATAATCTGCAAACGCAACCTTGATATTATGCGTCGATTATAAATTAAAGGTTTTTTTAAGTGGTTAATTACATTTGATATTTTTACTCTATTCAGAACTAATATAAATTTATAGTTTAGTATTTTAATAATTGAAACAAATAACCAATTTGAATATTTAATTACAAATTCAACTTATAAAAACTGAGGTTCTTTAATAATAACTCTAATGACTCAACTTCTGATTATCATATGTTTTAATTTCATTGCTTATAAATTCAATTTAATATAAAACACACATTGAACACTTTATTTTATTTTGTCTTATACTCCTACAAGGAATATTATTTCAAAACATTGAAACTTGCTCCAGAAGTCACTTTAAAATTGTGTTCAGAAATATTTTTAGTGCATGTTTTTAATGATAATATGAATAATGTTAATTAATGGTAGTTAATTCCAATGATTGATACATAATTCAACTTGATGCAATGCTAACTCTACTTTATGTTTCCTAATTATATAATTATGTAATAATAACAGTTTTTTTTTCTGAACGATAATAAGTGATTTCGACAAATCAATTACCTTTATTGAATTCTTACAATTGGTCTATTTCTAGTATTTACTCAATTTATAGAACATTATTGATTGAATGATGGTACCGGTGGTGAAAGATATTTGTACAGGGGTAAATCGTGTTTAAAACATCTACATAATTTGAATACATACATAAGGTGTTATTAACCTTAATAATAAAAAAATCTTAAAAATTACTTACCACTATGCAAGGTTTCTTACATTAAGTACTATATGTAATTTTATCATGAAATACGTTAAATTTTAACTAATTTAAAGTTAACGAATTGGTAAGGAACGTTTAGTTGCACACTGATAAGGCGTTATTTCATATAACTAGTCAATTTTCAATTATTTAATAAAGTAATGATCAGTATACTTTTAAGTGATAATATAATTTAAAGCTTAATTGTAATTATTATATGCACTTGCTATAACCATTTTTTTATTTCAAATTTTTTCATTTGCCAAGTTTTAAAGTAATTATCAGTATACTTTTAAGTGATAATATAATTCAAAGCATAATTTGTAATTATTATATACACTTGCTATAATCAATTTTTATTTAAAATTTTCATTTACCAATTTTCTCTTCCGTAAATTAAATCTTCATATAAGGTTATTTGTTGTATATAAAAAGATTTTCTGGTTTTGTATGGTTTTTGAAATTTCTTTAACAAGCACGAATCTTTTGAAAATTTCGGAACTATCAAGGACAAACATTCTGAATCCAAACATTAAGAGAATATTGCCTCTAGAAAACGCAAGATAGAAATCCTGAATGGTCAATCCGGGACATATGATCACCTATACGTATTTTATATACAGCTATAGTTGCCGCATACTTCTGTTAAATGCCAAATCCAAACTAGCTGTAAGTGGAATTCTGTCTTAAGGCAATTAAGGCATCGTGCCTTAAGGCAAATTGCTGGAACTTCCCGTACCAAAAATTTATTATTTTTTTTAAAACGATTAACACTTTTGAAAAAAATTTACTTCGAAAAAATAAGATTTTTAAGAAACTATAAATTGGACAAAAAATTACTTTTTTTTGAAAAAAAAAATTTTTTTTTTTAATTTTTTTTTTGAAAAAAAATGTTTTCTTTATTTTGACATATTTTGGAAGATCTAAACTTTTTCTCAAAGCAATCGTACTGCTTTAACTGCATAAAGACGAAATATCGAAGCGCGTAAGCGCCGCGTCGCCGTCTAACGCGTAAACATTGGTACGGAACCCATAGGAATGTAAACCAAATTTATACTTATTGTTTAAATCTCTATAAAATATCTGTTAATTTGATGTGCATATGTCTAATGATTATTTTTGACCGCCAAATGGCATTTTTTTTTCCTTTTTTTACTAGATCTCCGAAACCGCTAGACCTGCCTTCATAAAAATTTTATCAATTCTTCATCTTGTCAATATAAGTAAAATGTTTTTTGAATTATTAAAATCGGACGCTCCGTTCTCTTAAAAACTGAGTTACCGTTTTCTGCACCTTTTGCCCCGTATCTTTGGAACGGCTAGACCTGCCTTCGTCAAAAACTAATCAGCACGTCTCCTTATCAATACGAATCGAATGTTTTTTGAATTATTCAAATCGGTTGATCAGTGTTCCCGAAATCGTCGACGAAAATTTGTATCCGCACACGCACACACACACACACACACATACACACACACACACACATACATCCATTTTTTCTAAGGTATCCCAAAATATTCAGAAACCTTTGAAACGTGGAGAAATGCTAAAATTTTCATTTTCGATTTTTTGCGATTACTATAACTTGCCCTACGGGAAGTTAATAAAATAATTATAATTTGAAAATGATGGGTCTAAAAATAACATCTGTACTATTTTTTACATCAATCAATAATGAAACATGTGTCTAATGATATCCTACTTTCAGGTATTGGCTTTAGTGGCTTATCCCGCTCTAATGGACATACCAGGAATTCCAGATGATGTCAAGGAAAGGGCTGACACAATTTTAAAAGGTTGCAAGGGATATTCAGTCGGTTCTTATTCTGAACCTACAGGACTAGCCGTCATACGACAACATATTGCTGATTACATTGAAAGAAGAGACGGAGGTGTACCATCTAGCCCCGATGACATAATGTTAACCAGCGGAGCTACTACAGCAATCACAGATCTGATGAATTTATTATCATGTATCGTGGATAACAAAAAACCAGGTAATGGTGATCAAGAAGGTGATTAAGATGTTATCAAATGTATCAAAATAAACTTAAGGATCTGGTGATTATATAATTCTATTTCTACACTATTAATGGAAGAACAATGATAAACGATCACTTAATAATGCCAGTTCAATTAATATCATTGACTACTAATAATAATTTTTTGTAGTCATTTACCATGCTACTTCTATTATGTTTCTTCCACATTTGGTAGAACTTCTCTTGATTTACCATACTATTGCTCTAAATTGCTGATTTCCATAATACCTCATTTTCTTATTGATAAAATAAATAGCAATCAAAATGCTATATGCTATTATAATAAGATTAAAATAAAGCTCATATTGTTCTTAAAAAAATCTATATAAATCACTCTAGTCAATAAATTTCTAATTAATGCTAAGGCAGGTCAATAGGCCATTGAGAAGTGGTCTTATTACCTTATTTGATAATCCTCAATTTTTTATATATAAGTACTGTTTCTGTCTTTTATTATTTTGTCTACGTAAGGTGTCTTTAAGTAATTATGAATTAAATTTGGAGACGTACCGATGTGCATCTGAAATATTTCCTAAATTATTTGCATCAAATTCTCTGCATCTCACTTCCATAAGTCCACACAAGCTTCAGATGGGATTTTTATATCAAAACTTTTAGTGAAAATTATCAAAGAATATATAATGTACTATTCTAAATATAATTAAATGTTTGTATGTAAATCCATAATTCTGGCACAATAAAAATGTATCAACACTTTATTCAAGCCTGTGTGGCTTGGGCAAAGCACATAAAAAAATAACTATGTAATTACTCCATATTCGTACATAACTATGTATAAATAAATAATAATCATGAATTAATGCAATAAAACCAGAATGCATGAAATAATTATGCTTTTTATAATTTGCCTTGTTTATTTATTTAAAGACAATAACGTACTTATTCAGAACGTATCTCTTATTAGGTTAGCTTGAATTAAACTTATGTCGAGTAGTTTATTTAATCAGTTGTTTTAATAATGAATACAGCAAACAAATCTAAGTAAATTAATAAACTATTTGTAAACATTATGACGTTGTTGATTATTGACGAATTATTTTTATATGATTTGTTAACTTTGAAACTAATTAAATTCAATATGAAATATTCTCACAGGTGTTATGGTACCTATTCCACAATTTTCTTTATACTCCGCCAACATAACCAAATTTAATATGGGACAAGTTGGGTATTACCTTAATGAGAGCAAAGACTGGGCACTGGACATGGATGATCTAAATAGAGCTGCTCGGGAAGCTAAACAAAATGATATTATTCCACGTGTTCTTGTGGTCATGAATCCTGGAAATCCGACTGGCCAAGTATTACACAGAGACAATATAGAAGACATAATCAGATTCGCTTACCAAGAGAAATTGCTCATTTTCGCGGATGAAGTATACCAGGATAATGTTTACGTTGAGGGCTGTAAATTCCACTCCTTTAAAAAGGTATAGAATAAATTTTGTAGTTTTAAAACATCACCATAATTTAGAGCTAATAAACGTAAAAAATAATGGATTAATGGAATTTACGCTCACAAACAGCTCATATTATATACATATTATTTTTTAGGTTTTACGAGAAATGGGTCCTCCATTCGACCAAATGCCTCTCATATCTTTTATGTCAACTTCTAAAGGGTGGCATGGTGAATGTGGGTTGCGTGGAGGGTATATGGAGATGATAAACTTTGATCCAGACGTCAAAGGTACTTTCTTGAAAGATATGGCAACCGCTCTTTGTGCTTCTGTTCTTGGACAAGCAGCCATGGATGCCATCGTAAGTGGCAATTAATCGAATTATTATGACTTCTTAGAATATGTATCAAAACATTGTTACTCGGTAAGAGTTAGTAGTACCACTTACTAATCGGATTGTATAAGGAATTGTGACTGCTATGATTTGATTATTATAGTAATTTACATGGTCAAGTAAAATGTTAGATATCAAATATTAAGAGCTATATTTTTGTTTATCAAAAGTAAAAAGTTTATTATACAATTTAAAATTTTAAAATTTTTATGTATACTTTTAAATTTCTTTTAAAAAACTTCATGTTATGCTTTTTATGAAAATGAAACAAATATTTAACTAGTTGAAAGTGGCATTTAGTCTTAAGACAAGTTGCATGAACTAACCCGAAATATGTAAGAAATTTGAATTTTTGATTTTTTAAAATTGATTCAGAATTGAGAGCTAAAACGTGGACGAAAGAATTTTCACTTTTTTGCTATTTACAAAGAAACGGCCTGGCTGATCATCGCGCAAAATTGATAAACACTAGTCCTCATCGAGATACATAGAATGGCTTTTAAATTTAAATCGGTGCAGCCAGTTTTAAGAAAACGTGGATTTACGGCAGAAAATCTGTTTACACACACACATACACACAGCACATACTTTTTCCAAATTTGGTCTCATTCGAGACTTGAAACGTCGAGAAAACATAAAATTAGCGAGTCGGATTTTTTTTATGAAAACAAACTTCTCCTTCGGGAAGTTAAAAATATTCATATATATTTTCCATTGTTGAAAATGTTTCTTTGGGAAGGAGATTTTCATACTTGTTTCCTACTACGTGGAGCCGAAATAGCGACATGCCTCCGATAACATGGTACTCCCATAAAACGCGATTTTCATACTTTTTTCCTAGTACGCGGAGCCGAAATTGCGACAGGCCTCCGATAACAACTCAAGTTCTTCTGCGCAACCTATGAATGACTCTAGTAACTAGATATTATTGTAAAAGGTTTTAATATAGATTTTATTATCGACCAATTAATCTTTCACAATATTTATATTAACCGATTTGTAGCATATGGAAGTTTGTTAAACCTAAAAACTCTTCTATTTAATAAAAATATTTGTATTTTTCATCATATCCTTGTATAATCGTTTCAATTCAATCTGAAACAATTTATATTTTTAACATATCTTTATATTAACTCTTCAATCCAATAAAAACAATTTGTGATTTATCAGATATTTTGTATTTATTGGTCTCCAATGGCGACTCTCAATATAACGCGCCTGGATTGTACGTTAAATCCGAGTTTCTTATAACAAGGCTTCCATTATACATTTTGAGCACTCACCGCATTATTCGAGTGTAGATTGTATGTAATACCTATTTTCGTTGCAGGTTTATTTTAAAATTTTAATAGATTTCTTATTTTTTCGCAGATCAATCCTCCCAGGCCAGGAGAACCATCATATGAATTATTCATGAAAGAAAAACAAGAAGTCCTCGATTCATTGGCAGTCCGCGCCAAACTTGTGGCGGACGCCTTTAACAGCTTTGAAGGATTTTCCTGCAATGTTGTCCAAGGGGCTATGTATGCTTTTCCAACTATAAAAATTCCACCAAAAGCAATAGAAGCAGCTAAAAAGGCCGGACAGGCTCCCGATGTTTTCTACGCATTCGAACTTTTAGAAAAGACTGGAATTTTAATTGTGCCCGGAACTAGCTTTGGACAAAAGCCAGGAACTTACCACATGCGAACTACAATTTTGCCACAGACTGATAAATTGAAGGAGATGATGAACAAATTTGCAAATTTCCACAAAGATTTTGTGGCGCAATACAGGTAAAATGATTAAATTGATCTTAATTCAAAGCACGCTGCTTGTTATTTTGGGTTTGAAATTGGTTTATAAAGGTATAATAATTGCCCTAGAAATATGGGCTCGTTTTTTTTCATCTATCAATAGCATAGATGTAAATATCTTATTTATCATAATCAATTGACAAAATATCTACTTTTATATAACATATTAAATAATTTCAGCTAAACTAATGTACCTGCAGCCATTGGCGAAACAACTCACGAAATTATAAGTATCTAATTGTAAGTGAAATCAACAAAATATCTGCGTATGATATATTATTATTATTGTGCAACTGTGATCTATTAACTATTTAAATTATATGATTTCTCGATCGAATACAATTTAAATTGTAAACAAAATTTATGTACAATGAAATACAGCATTGATGTGATATGCATTTGGATTTTCAGTGCAACAGAAATTTATTAACTTCCCTTAAGGTAAGTTATTGTAATTGTCCAAAAATTTAAATTGATTTTTTTTCCATTTTTCGACGTTTTGAAGGTTTCTGAACATTTTGGCATGCCTCAGAAAAAATGTATGTGTGTGTGTATGTATGTATGGATATAAATTTCCAGTTACGTTTTCGGGCGCACGGATCATCCGATTTGATTGGTTCAAAAAACATTCGATTCCTATTGATAGGGAGATGAGCTGATTAGTTTTTGGCAAAGGCAGGTCCAGCCGTTACGGAGATACGGAGCTTAATGTGCAAAAAATGGCAGTTTTTGAGAGAACTAAGCGTCCGATTTAAATGATTCAAAAATTTTCTGCTTGTAAATAATTAATTTTGGAAAAAAAAAATTGTTTCAACTTTTTTTTTCAAAAAAAAATTTATTTGTATATCGAAAATAATGCAGATTTTATTTTTAATTCTGACTATAATTCTAATATACTTTAAACAAATAATTTCAACTTTGCAATTCAGTTTATATAATTCTTATAAATATTAGACAATGTTACAATATCAAAAATAATCTATTTGAAAACATTCAGTATTCCTCGAACATTTCGTTACGGTATGGGAAGTTCCAGCAATTTGCCTTAAGGCACGATGCCATACACCCCACTAGTTTTTGTATCAATAATCCTTATTATTAATATACTAAAACTAAATAAAAATGCTGCTATAAGTGGCTTATGATGAAAATATTGTTCAAAATATTATTATCTCTTAAAAAACTATTAAGTAGAAATTTTATTTTTGCGGTAAGGGCTTTTGAAATCTGTCACCAATTCCTAGCGCCAAAAATTAAAACTTTATACGCGGTAAAATCTGATCTTTGGATATATATTGTACCAGTATGTATATGTTCATGCATGTTTTTTAATTAAATATTTAAAATGTTCTGAATATGTTTGACTCTTCGTGACATTCCGAATTATTAATAAGTTATAAAACAGAGCAATTTGATTCAAAATTAACCAGATTCAGATTTAACGGGACGGCGACATCCGAGTGAAAAAGGTTATTATATAGTAAGAGACCATATGTAATAATTATCAGTCTTTTTAATTGAATTGATTTTTTATCGATGTGTAGAATATAACTGATATACTTTAGGTTTCGTACTAGCGTAAAAGAATTTTCTATCATTTAAACTTGTTTCAAAAATACTTGAAACTCGCTATGAAGAGACGCATAAA